GATAGTTGCACAGCATTTTAAAAAACGTGATGGAATCCATGACCTCCCCAACATATTATTATGACAGACCGTTTAGACATCTATGGATGTATCATAACTAGATAAAGTTTCACAATTACAATACATGTTTCGTATATCGGTTTTTAATCAGTGTGAAGCGTTACCGTTTCATTGATTGCCGGTAAAGTAACGTGGTTACAAGCATTAGAGGTTCTTAACCTTTGTCCGAATGACACTAGAAAAACTTAATGACTGTACTTGATAACTAATTTCTTTAATCTCTCCACCGATTTAAGTTTATCGGAAATGTTGTTGACGTGTGTTAATGACTGATTGTATCTAATTGTTGTTGTACATGTTTTTGTTTCTATGGGTAGAAAAATAGTTGCAACTTTTATTCAATAATTTACCTCCAACTTCAGACTCTGAGCTTAATAAATCAAACTTAACATGTTTAAGTCTAACGAACTCTGAATGAATGGGTTCCTTTAGAATGGAAGTGTACCACAGCGTAAGCACAACTAAACGAAAAGTAAATCCCTGCACTCAAGATCAATGCACCCTCGGTTCCATAAATAGCCGGCTTCGTTCCACAAACTTATTGACATATAAGAACTTTACTGATCATATTTGTATGTACATCTTTACTTTATGATTTCCTTAAGCAAAAACAAGACATTCTGGACACTGAACATGACTTATTCGAAAGACGATGACGGTCCAATAAAGGTTGTTTATTTTTGTGGTCAGAAAACTTAATGCCAACGTGCCTGACGTTTTTACGAACAATTCGTAGGTATAAAAAATGTGTCTTTATTGGTGACTCAGATTGACAATAAAAGTAAAAAATATTGTCGAGTTAATGCCTTGCCTAAATAAGTATAAGACAAGGACATTAAAATCTAATTTAGAACAATTAAGCGGTTTATGTAACAAAGTTAAAGTTGAAAGAAACAGATTGGGGCATTGTCGTACAAATACTGTTCAGAAAAGCAAAAATGACAAAAAGTATTGTGAAGATCAGTTTTAACTATTTCGTTTTGTTACAGCTTTTGCATCTAGAGGAGTAAACAAACACAAACCGCCAAAATGGACGCGATCAAGAAGAAGATGCAGGCGATGAAGCTGGAGAAGGACAACGCGCTTGACCGCGCCGCCATGTGCGAGCAGCAGGCCAAGGACGCCAACCTCCGTGCCGAGAAGGTACGCGACACACTTCACCGTTTATGGCTAAAGGGCGCCGTGTGCACATTATTATTATAGCATTTAGTCGATTATTATTGGCAAATTGATTTATTGGTCACCGCTCTATTGAGGACATGATTTAAAAAAAGTATGTTCCACATTCAAAATTCAATAATGTTGTCCTGATCAAACCAAAAAAAAAAAAACAAAATTGAGATTTTATTTTTTTCATGAACTTTTTGAGATAAACATAATTAAAAATATGTCGGTCTCTCCTTTGGTGGACCTTTAGGATAGTTCGAAATTTTAAGATACCACTTAACCATAAAAATGATGACGATACAAAAGAAAGTCATCATGAATTCGCAATATCAAAGTTATTTGTTTTAGACCTATGCATAAATATTTTTTGCTGTTGAAGTGCTATAACGGGTTTTTACTTTACATAGTCGGTGTCAAGTGTGAAAAATCATTTTGTTTTTACAACTGCAGCAGAGGACACTGAACTTTATAAAAACATATTTATTAAATAGCGTTGTCTGTCACTTATATCTAGTTTCAAAGTCGATTGAATATCGATTACAAATTATATTATTATTCTACATATAGATGCATGTTATTACAGTAACAATTGCTTCGAATACTTTACCAATAGTGTAAACGAATATAACCAACGTTTACTGAAATGCTTAAAATAGGTTCTTGAAAAAATGAAATACCTAGGTATGTCGAGAACAATTTTAATGCAAATAAAGTAATAAATTATTCAGGTAAAATGAAACAGCTGTAAATTAAAGAATTCTTGACCGATTATACCATTGCAAGGTCGATATTAATTATTTAATTTTTAAATTACACCGGCTTGTGTTTTCGCTTTTCGTTTTGCTTATGACGGGAGCAACCTTGACCACGGCTGCGTGTCAGGGCTAAGGACGCCAACCGACAACTTAGATATATTAAATTATCTGTACTTATGTATATTGTACATTATGTGCATACTCTTGCAGTTGCAAAACTATGCCTCTATAAAGATACAGGCCATTGTAAGCTTTAACATCCTTATTTTAAAATCAAATATCACTTAAACTTCACACAGGAAAACATAATTTGTTTCATTAAAATACTTTTGGCAAACAAAAGCAAATAAGAACGGATGTTGCAAATGTAATAAACAGTTAAAGAATTACAAACGTACGAATGCTCATCAATCATAAACATTAATGTTCGGATATATAGGTAACTAGTTTCTTACAATATTGCCAATTATTAAATAGTTCTACCTCTACATGTAATACTTGAAAATAATTTGATCAGAGAATACGGTCACAGTATAAATACGGTAGTTGTCAACTACCGTATTAATAGTCAAATTCAATACTTTTATTGAAATGTCAAAAACGATACTTTTCTATGAATTTTGTATTGGATCGCTACTTATGACGTCATCATATTTCTGCGTCAAATAGCATACTTATTTCCTTAAAATTAGCGAGAAAAAATCCAAAAGTAGGTAAATTGTCAAATCGATGGATGAGAGTATGATTATTTTTTAATTATTTATTGCATTGAAAAGCTGAAACAATTTATTTTAAACCTAGGAAACAATTGATTGTACAAATTACAAAATAGCTGCAATTTTGTGTCCAAATAGAACTGCCTGTGTATTTAATTACAAAGATAACATTTGATTTGCGACAAATCAAGACGTAACAAAAACAATAAATACAATAGTACCAGCTATTAGTTTGCTTCAAAAATAATTCAGTTTATTTATCACATGTAAGACGAATTTTTGCACTGCTATTTGAAAGGAACTTCATGTGTCTTGCAGAATTGCGTCTTAATCCTCTTAATCTTTGTAATAGGCTGAGGAGGAGGCCAGACAGCTCCAGAAGAAGATCCAGACCATTGAGAACGACCTTGACCAGACCCAGGAAGCTCTCATGCAGGTTAACGCCAAGCTGGAGGAGAAGGAGAAGGCTCTTCAGAACGTGAGTACTTTACAGTATTATAATCATTGCTGTCAAGGGCTTATGTCCAGTTCAGTTCAGATAAATAGCTCTTCAAGGCCTACAGATGGACATAAACCTCTTCAATGGCATGCCAAACTCCAATTTGAAATCCCGGTACTAATTTTTCAGCCTGATGTTGGAATCCATTGGTGGAATAATTTTTAGAATTATTTGTTAAAGTTGTGTGCATGTTGGAATTATGGAAACAATTGTCTGGGTTTAGGTAGTGTAAGTCCTTAATTTAGAGATTTCGAAAAACTTTTATTCGACGATCAAATATGTATTCTATTTTTAGACATTTTTATATTTGGTCTTTTATTATACGGAACGTGTGGATGTTAGCCAGTTTAAGAATACAATAGAACTATGGAAGATACTCAATTGAAGGTCGATTATATACTTTATTCAATCATCCTCGTGTACCACAAGATCACAGAGCTACTATAAAAATACGGTCACAATATAATAACAAATCAAAAACAACAAGCTGAATTAGAATCATTAATTTAATTAGTATGTCGACTGTAAACAATTGATGATCTCATTCCAATAATGAATACTGCAGAATTAATTTAGATCACGCATGTGTCAATAATTAAAGAGACCATCTTGTGAGCCAAAAACCTTGGCTGATTGGCAGACAAACAAAATGACGGACTGATATTAAAGTAGAGAGGATGCCTGTGAGATGAGTAACCGGAGAAGATAATCTGAGATACAATAAGATAAAATATCTATGCTGTTTCACTGTTAAACAAAAATACATGAGGAAAAGAAAATATGTGCCATTTTGCGGCCTTTAATTGTATTGGATAAATTGATGATTAGGTATAAATAGTTCTAACAGCAAACAAATAAAATATCTGACATGTTTCTCAGATTTATTGTGGTCGATTGAGATTCATTTTAAAAGATCCCGATAATTAAGAAAGAAACGAAATGGTAAAGTTAAAAGCTCGAAATTGCGAAATCTCAAAATCTAATCATTAGAAAATGCGTCATCAAATAATATCTCGTACCCATTAGATAATTAATTATGATTCAGAAAAAAATGAAAAGTCTAAAACGGATAAACGTGTAAAAAAAATTAATCAATGTTGTTTAAACCTAAGAATACTGATTTATAAATTCTGTTTTTGGTCTTTATTCTTTGTTCTTAAGTTCAATGACATCGGATATCCACAACTTCATCGCCATTCACATGAAGACATCAAATTATCATACTTATTTGTGTTTCATTGAACACGTGTAATACCAGATGCCTTGTATACCGGAATGCCGCGCTCTAGGGGGCTGCGTTCTGTGCGCACCGAGTTATTTTCAGCGCTCGACACCTAATATGGGCCCGGTGCCCGGTGTTTCAGTAAAAATAGACGCTGGACTCATTCGATACGTCAGCTCGCCTACATCAGATAAACTATGGAATTTACCAACAAATCGTGTTTTAGAACAATAAATTTCTATACAATAAGGATTTATTTGCGTACACACACGTAATATTATGTCAAAAAATCTCGATTTTAAAAGTAAAAAAATTATATAATGGTTTATCCGTACAAGATGATAATAAAACTTGTAAACAAATTTTAAATATCGAAATAGATTCCCTATATTTGAAATTCCCGCGTCTAACGATAAACAAATGCGCCGCTCGGTAGGTAAAACAGTGCAATGAAAACAAAAGATGGCAGCAAGTTAGGAGCGACTACAGCGCCACCGCGGTTTGTTAGGGCAGACTGAGAGACCGTCAGTCAACATGGCCGCCGGCGCTGCGCGGCCGGTCGGACCGCGCCGAGCGTAGTTATGTCCGCGTCCGCGCCCCACGCCCACGGGCGCACCCCCGTGCGGCGCAGGGGGCACCAACACCACCCGCGGCTGAGGGGCGACCGCACACCCGCCCCTGCAGCGCCTGTAAACACAGATCCGTCCAAACAAGTGACCTTAGACAGTCAAACAGACGATGTTGTGCCTTGTGTCAATAGTGTTAGTGAATCTCAAGAAGTGACAAGGACGAATAGTGACGATGCACTTTCGAAACAGAATACAATCGAGGACTTTGCGAATATTGACGATGAAATTGATTTCGAAAATAGAATTAAGGACCCCGAGTCGCTTGGTTCCTCGGACGACGAATTTTCGTTCCGAGAAGAGCGATCGGCGGGAGACGGAGCCGAGTTCGTTGCTACTGTCACCTCAGATAATATATCAGATGATGACCCTGAGACGGCAGAACTGGCGAAACTCAGGTGTACTAGTGAATGTACAGAAGTCCTAGCTGAAAGAGAGAATAGGCGGAGGAGAAGATGTGCCGATTATCCAGGTTTAGCATTCGGGAGTTCCATATTTTCCTCGGACACTATGATGAAATTTTCCATCATAAAGAATGAGTTGCAGAATATCAAGAACACTGCACTGAAAAGGGTAATGTCCTTTGTTATTTACGCTTCTGTTCAGTTGTGTGAGTGAGACTGGCATGGGCCAAATGCGCAGAGAACTATTTTTAATCACGTAGCGTCGGGAAAGCGTTGAATTTGCTCCACGAAGCAAGGCAGAGGTAGTTGTATCCCGCGCGTGGTGATCAGCTGAGTCGCCGACATTCCATTTGACATGTTTACTCGGCCGATTACACATGGCGCCACTAGATGTCGTGGCTGTCGATAGACGCACGTGGCCTTAAGCTGTCGGCCCTTGCCCTTATTTTCTGATTGAATCCAATTGCTTATCGGGTTATCTTGTTTGAAGTTGTTACTTCCCACGTTTACATTCCCTATACAATTTAAGATTGTGTTATTTATGGTTCAAATATTTTGCTAGTTATCTACTTTTCTCATGAGGTCCCTTTTGATAAACGATTCCAATCAGATAATATGATCTAATCTATTACAATAGATATTATTTAAATCATTAAAGAAATGAATAGTTCAGAACACATTGTTAATGCAAGAGTTCAAAAGCAAAGAACACTAACTTTAGTCAATAGTCTTGTTAGTGTCGAGTTTATAAAAGTATTGTTAGCACGTTTCTACATTCCGCATGATATTACATTCTATTCATTACAACTTTCTAAATTATTCATGAACAATACGTTGCGGTGGGCAATCGTAATTACAACGCGTAAAATTTTGAATTGATACTAGAACGTTTCGTATGTATGTTTAATTGTTTACCTACACGGACAATATCGGACAGTCTGTTTACGATTTCATTTGTTATTATCTCGCTCGGTAATGTAATAATAATTTAGTTTAAAGTACACAATTTGTTAATGTCTGTTTGTCACTTAGTTACGGAACTTATTATGGACGTAGGTACCTACTAAGATGGTAACTGTATTGTTCCCAATACCTAAAATATGTAAAGAAACCACAATCTTGCAAAACCGTACTAACTGTAAAAGGTACTTGAATAAATAACACGTAGATTTATAAAAGCATATATGTATATGTTTAAGAATGAAGTTGGTTAAAAAGGAAAGTGAATTATCCAAGAAAACAGTACGTGATATAGCTAGTTAAACATGGGTAATTACTGCCAAATTTGCAAATAGACAGGCGTCAGTTATTCAACAGCATACTTTTCGTTTTTTCACGCTTCGATGTGATATAATTGAGTTTTTAATGCTTAATCTACGTAGATTATTCCGTGTTGTATCTACAATTCGAAACTATTTGCCTATTTATTTAAATACATGGTGAAGCAACAGCTATAATACTACAAATTCACACGAATAAGTAACTAGTAAGTGTCTGAATAGGTAAAAGCTAAAATAGATTGTATCAACGTATTATGCAAGTGTTCTTAATCGCAATTATTCTTTGTAGTCATTACTCGTAATTGCCATTTAAAAAAATAAGACTGTTGATCGTTTTAACTTTCAATTGAAGTAATGTAAATCGTACCGAAAGAAAGTCTACCTCGTTGGCCAAGTGGTCGTAAGTGCGACTTCTGGGCAAGGGGTCTCCGGCAAAGTATTAAAAAAAAAATGTCAGTAGTAGCACGGTGTCTGGAATTGTGCCCGGTATATGGCTATAGGCTCACCCCCTATTACATGAGACTCATAGCAAAAATTGTGAATAGCGAGTGTTACATTGCACAGTGGCATTAAGTGCCGTAATGTGCACCTCTGCCTACCCCTCCGGGGATAAAAGGCGTGATATTATGTTATATTATGTACCGAAAGTCTGCTGTTTTCTTTAGCCAAACATTGGTATAACGTTCCTTTATTACTAAGTTCTGAGACTAAAGTTTAATTCCACCATCTTTGAGTTTTGTCTAAGTCTTAATTGGCTAATTGTTTTTTTCCATATAAAGTTTGTTACAATATATTCTAATTAACCTTCTTTATCAGACGTTGTGTAATAAACCCTAAAAATCCCATATCTCGCTATTTAAACATTATTGCTGTCTCGTTGGCCGAGTGGTCGCAAGTACGACTGCCGGGCAAGGGGTCTCGGGTTCAATTTCCGGGTCGGGCAAAGTATTAATGGGTTTAAAAAAAATCTCAGTAGTAGCACGGAGTCTAGAATTGTGCCCGGTATATGGCAATAGGCTCACCCCCTATTACATGAGACTCATAACATAAATTGTGAATAGCGAGTGTTACATTGCACAGTGGCAATAAGTGTCGTAATGTGCACCTATGCCTACCCCTCCATAAATCCCCATCCATAAAGGCGTGATGTTATGTTATATTATGTACAGAAAGTCTGCTGTTTTTTTTAGCCAAATATTGGTATAACGTTTTTTTTATTACTTAGTTCTGAGACTTAAGTTTTATTCCACCATCTTTGAGCTATGTCAAGTCTTAATTAGCTAATTGTTTTTTCCATATAAAGTTTGTTACAATATGTTCTAATTAAACTTACTTTATCACACGTTGTGTAACAGGTAAAAATCCCACATTATCTCGATATTAGGGCCTGATTTAGCGAGCTATTTAAACATTATTCTATACATTTGAAATTGGCGCAAATAAGTTTTCTAACTACGAACTGACAAGTGTCTGTTTTCGATAAAATATTTTAAAAGAAAATAATATAGGAATTCGTGTTCGATGCGTATTTGGCCAACTTTTCCTTCTATAGATTACTCACAGCTATTGCATGCATGTTACCGTGTCAGTTTTGTTTTAACAGTAAAACACGACGTGTGAAATGATACGATTTATTCAACACTGAAATGTTTCTTTAAGCCATTTTTATATCTATACATATAATAAAACTGTAGAACTGTTTGTTCTGTACATTGAACCTAATAAAAATATATAGTGAGGGGTGTTACGAGATATACATATATCGACCCCAAAAATGTGTTAAAAAAAATTTGTCCTTTTATCTTTTTTTTTTTAAATAAACGTTGCCCCACATTAGGATTTTCTCCTGTGTCGTGGGTGCGTTTACAAACATACAAGTTCACATACACAATGACACCCAGACCCGAAACAACAATTTGTGGATCACACAAAGTGTTGTTCCGTGCGGGAATCGAACCCGCGACACGTTGCACGGCAGCCGGTTGCCCAGCCACCGCACCAACCGTGCAGTCTAAACCGTATCTGTCTCTATGTTCACGCATTACGCAAAAACTACCGGTCGGATTACGATGCAACTTGGTATAATTATACTTTAATATCCTGCGCACAACACTAGGTACTTTTTATCTCGAAAAAGTATATACACAAAAAACAAACTTAATTGTGCGGCTCGATCCCTAGACACAGTGACTGTAATAAACGCAAAAATAAGTTTGCCGAATGTTAAGTTACCCGCAGGCTGAAGGTATCGGGATGAAATTTGTAGGAGAGGTAGATTATGATCTGGAATAACTCATATAGGCTTTTTATCCCTAGGAACACGGAACCGCTTGCAGAAGCTAGTTTATACTAAAATAGACATACTAAATTAATTATTATGTTTTCGGCTTACTCACGTAACTGTTTGACGAGGACCTCTACTAGTTTCAAGCCATGCTAGAGGCTCATATTCTTGAGCAGCATTCCGTAACACGCGACGCGGTGAAATTTTTATATTGTAAGAATTCAGTCCGTGTAGGTAATGTAAATCGAAGCTACAATAGAATTAATTCCTATTGTCAAACTAGATACTTTGTTCTACTTCGGGACTTAAAATGGTTGTCTGATTGTTCTTGACAACTTCTAAGGACGATAGAAACCTAGTTCAGGAATGAACGTTTTGCTTGATCTTTGAGCATATTCACCACAATGACTGCCATGAGCAAATGTTTGATCTTCTTTGAGGCAAAGAACTTTCTTTAGTGTGTATTTTTAATAAAAAATCGACAGTACCCGCGATATACGTCATAGCAGCCGGTTACCCAGCTACAGCGCTAGTCGTTTTGTTATGTCATACAAAATCATACAATAAGTAAAATGATATTCTAGAAATTCAACATAAAACCGGTTTAATTTACTAAACAACTCGTTGAATTTAACAATGTTAATCGAATCAAATTTCCTACTATATTAAATAATTGTTGGGTAAGGATGTGATCCATTACTTACATAATACTTAATCGAAAATTGTGTACTATACTCAGATGAGTATATAGTAATAGTATATATATTTTCAACGTCGTGGTGGCCCGGAGGTTTAAGACGCCCGCTTCTCATGCACGAGGGTGCGGGTTCGAAACCTACTAACGGCAAGTACCAATGTGACTTTTTCCGAGTTATATGTACTTTCTAAGATTATTCAGACACCACTGACAAACGGTGAAGGAAAACATCGTGAGGAAACCTGGGCTTATAATTTCTAATTATAAGTTTGTAATCGCCAACCCGCATTGAGCAAGCGTGGTGATTAATGCTCAAACCTTCTCCGTGTGAGAAGAGGCTTTGCTCAGCAGTGGGCATTTATAGGCTGTTGATGATGATGATATTTTCAACTAGATAGTTGTTACAATACTACATTTACCAATACCTTACTGACACAACAAGCATTATAACATTTCATAAAAACGAATGAAGTACTCATAAAGTAAATCAATTTCTCATTTTCAACATCGTTAAAATCGTCGACCTACCAGTGTTAATTAGATCGAGATTCCACACTTCAAACGACCTATTTCATTACCGTCTGACTATCATGATTGTATACAATGTACCTACAAGTTACGCAAGCTATCAATAGTTGACATATGTCCATATGCGTCACAGTTATTTAGAGTAGTTCATGTATCATAACAGGGAGTATGTAATTACATGTGCCGTGTGATCACGCGTATGCCCATATGTATGCCTGTAACCTTCAGGTACAATAACTTATTACTGACCATATGGTCACTGACGGACAGATGACCAACTTTCTACCAAGTATAAATAAGGAATCTTCTTATTTAGTGGGTATGGTCCTTGACTTTTATGAGCTTTCTGAATCAGATGCAGAATTTTAATTAAGTAACTTGATTGGTTACGAAATTCAGATTAATTATTAAGATAATGAGCAAGATACATCGTAATGAAAGAGATATAGAAAAGTCGATGTAAGTGTCAATTTTATTCCTATCGAATAACTCAAGATCGTTGTGTTAAAGTTTAGTGGTGAAGTCGGCACGTTTTTGCACGGTAGCAAAAAGAGGACAAATTCAAAAGAATAAAAGATCCCGCATACCGTGAAGCTGAAAACGGCAAGGTCAATAAAATTAGTGCACATATTTTGTGCTTGTTCTCTGATGTAAAATGAGTCACCTTTGCAGAGGTTATTGCTCATTTAATGTCGCATAAAATTAAAATAACAATCGTGTATTAGAATCATCTATTCATATCCATTGTATTCAAAAAGCATAACGACGGGTACCACTTGGTCGGATATTGTAACAATATGTCTGGATCTTAAGAGAAAGAAAAATTATGTCTATGTTGATAGTACAAATTTTTTAAAAAGTTACGTCGTCGGTAATGTGGCATTGCATCAAAGTCTGGGTACCTGTGCAGTGTACAAGTCTAATTTGGCCGTGTTTAATACCTGAATTTCACTTTAGTTATCATTGGCCTCGTCAGAGTACGGTTTAACTGTTTTACCGACTTGTATTTTTTGTTGCAATCGCTCGGTTACTTAACGGAATTTAAAACAGGCACATACTTTCCAAATGACGTCATATAATTTCGGCAGTCTTGTGTAAATTGTTCATGTTCGTCTGTCCTATCATTGGCTGCAGGAAACATCCGCTAGTTGCGAAATTTCGCACTAGATGGCGTTGTTGATTTGTTTCCAACTCGTAGTATTTACTTTTTTGTTTGATAATTTTTACAACAATTCAACAATTTGATTGAGCCAATTTATTGGCTTGACCTCTCTTTCAAAAGAGCCGAGTTTATCCTATTCACGGTAGTCTTCAAATAAAAGTTTCCCATGATTCCAATACAAAAGCGGTAATAGCCCTACACTAAATTTAAAAAATACACTTCCGTAGCGTTTATTGTATAAGTTCACTCTACCGTTTCGCCCATCCCACATTTTTGGGCTTTCTTCCCAAACACTGCTTGTGACCCTACAGGATGTAGTTTCCGACAAATACTAACAGGTGGAGCTACTTGCCCTGCAGGCAGTACGGTCGATTGTACTTATCGCGATCGTCGTGTCCGCGCGGGTGACGTTTCTGTTCATGTTTCGCTGTCAAAGTCATTTGAGAATGTGTAATTGTGTGAAATATTAGTGTCTATACTTCGAATAAATAGCTCGTGATCGTTAACTGATTATTTCGTCAGTGTTATAAGTCAGAAACGCAGCTAATTAGCACAGTAACGATAAAGTTGCAGCGTCTAGGTTCGGTGGCGGCCATTTTATTTGCCGGCTGTGTTCATTCGTGCCGTGCCCATCTCGACGATACGGGGCAATAACGAGCGGGGCCAGTCAGTTGGCATTTTCGCGAGTAGAGCGGAGGTGTCTCTAGTTTTTAGCATTTAAGCATTCAATTTAAACACAAAAGTGCATAAAAATGACGACAAACATGCAGCAAGGAACGATTCTGGACGTTTTGAAAAGAAAAATGCGCCAGACAAAAGAGGAAATGGAGAAATATAAGGACGAATGCGAGGAGTATCACAAACGTTTACAAGTGGAAATTATGCGGAGAGAAGAAGTAAGAAAACGTGTTTTAAAATTGTGCTGTGAATTTTGTGAATTGTTGGTTTCAATGTGTACCTGTGTTGGATTCATATTGGGACAAAATATGAGAGTTATCAGTAGTCTTGTACTATCTACCTATAGTGAGTAATGTCCGGCCATACTTAGGTGTGCAAGCAACGTACGCATATTGACCTCTCTTTCGGATTCATCTCGGTTTAATCTCGTAGAAAGAGAAGGCGAATAATTATTTCTTTGCGTTGAATACGGTTCCTTTCGTCGACTTTAGTGTTGTTCCCAAAAAAGTGTTACTCTTCGGAGACATTGGGATTTGAAGGTTTTCTTGAAGTCTGTCTTTACATAATTTTATTGGTGCTCGGGTGTGCGCCGGTTTCTGTTACACGTAACAGGTTTGGTTGCGTTGGAGGTCGAATACCGGTCTTTAGTGGCACATGTAGAGCGAGCCGGCTGGATTCGTGAAGCTTAACACCCTTTAGTACATTCCTGTTGTTCGGACGTCCTCGAAGGACCGCTGGCGCCGTGAAGGCGTGTCCGACTTGCTCGCCGTTATCGTCGTATGACGTAACTCGACAAGCCAGTAATGCTCCTATAGATCATAAACACCTGCAAATAGACGATTTGACAATTGAACGTTTTGGTCCTCATGTATTTTCGAATAATTGATGACATACTAACTTAACGTTCCTTAACGAGTGTTCCGTAATCTATGCTGCGCTATGCTGGCGATATCTCGTAGAACATTACTCGTCTTATCGTCTTAAGTGTATCAAAACGATGATAAGGAATGTTAAATTGAGATAGCGTGAAAGAGTAATTACTGAACGTGGAAAAAATGAACTTTATAACAAATGATTTTCTAGAGTTGTAAATAGAATACGTTTAGTTGAAATAGATTTTTTGTGACACACTGTGGGCGTGTACTAACACTGAGAGCTGACATAAATAGTTGAGGTCAATTTTAAAAATAATGCTTAGAGGAAACGTTTGAGGAAATCCTGCATTTTCAGAATGACCACAAAACGCATACAAAAATGTGTTCTGCATTAAGGAAACCTTTAAACATAAATCTATCTAAGTACCTATATCTATCAATAACAATGTCAAATAGTCTGTTAAAATTAGAACTCGTTTACTTAGGTGCTCGGTTCCCAATGTCCTTGCATACCGTGAAACATTATGTAGGTACTCAAATTGATAAAAGTTTGATGTTACAAAAGTGCGTGGGGAATTACCAACAATAATGAATTAGCTTCATTGCACCCAACATGGCATCCGAAATGACAGTCCCTTCGCGTGACGGTGTTGCGTTACAATTTATTGAGCTTGCAAGGGCTAGTCTTTTGTATTCGACGTTTGAATAGACACAATGCCACCGCCCTAACCGATCCTACAAAATTTTAACAATGTTTTGGTTGTCGGTGATAGTAAAACATTTAAAGGCAATATGCACCTGTGGAGTTCAAAGTCCATCTAGCATGCAACAATCATTAATAATAAGGTACAACAAAATGATGTCCCATGCTTTCTGAATTCCATTGATCAAAAGCTAAAGGTCAACGAACCTTCTATAAGAGGCTTAACTCACCGTTTTTAAATAGACTCAAGTAAACGTCAATTTGAATTATACACTAAGTTCAAGGTGACGCTTGACTACTGATCTCTAAAACATAGCCGCGACTAGACACCTATTTGTCTTGTGCTCCAACAAAAAATATGTATCGAAATTATATATTTCTTGTCGCTCGAGACGTTAGAAATGGAAGTTTTTATAAACTTTTTATGAATATACATTCACTGACTCGCATAATTGCTGTTAATATGTCATGCAAAGAAATGTATTAGAATGAGGTTGATTTAGTTGTCGGGGCTAGTCATGACTATTATTAGCTACCACGCACTGATGACGACACAGGATAAAAGGAGGAGAAACTGGGACTCGGGTGTGCTTCCTCGCGGCAAGGACGCGTGATGTCATGAGCGTGCAGAGACTGAATATAAATAAAGTAACGCAAAATGTGTCCCCTTGCCTTATGGTTTATTCTCGACACGTATAGTGTTCCAACGTTTAACAATGTCTATTGTACATTGACATTCTTACGGCCAAAAGTACCTGTGTTATGGTCACCAACTTTGGACACCTCAAATGCTAGAATATTAAAACATTTATTATGTTGCTTGCACAAACTTTAAGAATACGACGCCATTGAGTATTGCATTCCATTCCACTGATTATATTTATATTACATTTTCCGTAACATTAATGAAACCAACAAATAAGTTTGGTTTTATTGAAAAATCTAATTTTACTCGTATCAAATTAATCTAGTTCCGGATTATGTTGATATCAAAAATTCGAAACCTATAAACAGATATTGGAATTATATAACAATCAGTACTTACTTGTAAACATGTGCAGTTTCTAAAAATAGTTATGAACAACTTATATTCCAACTCGTATTGCTAATACTTAGCATAACAAATTCTTCGAATTTCAGAGATTACAAGTATGCCAAGCGTACTTTGATGGAACTAATTTAGTCTCTTTTCGACTCTTTGTTTTTAGATTAAGTTTACAGTAATTTTTACACCTTTGGATTCCAACAAGGCTGCTAAAATAATTATGATTTTCTGTGTTTTGTTCATAGTCCTTAGAACTACCTAGAATTTTTTCTACGGTAATGGTGATATTTTGAACAAATATTGATGATTTTTTTTTGTTGACACAGGCTGAGTCCGAAGTGGCTGCCCTCAACCGACGCATCCAACTGCTGGAGGAGGACCTCGAGAGGTCCGAGGAGCGTCTCGCCACCGCCACCGCCAAGCTCTCAGAGGCCAGCCAGGCTGCCGATGAGTCGGAACGGTGAGTCCGACAAATAACACATGCCCGCTTTATTTAATGAAGGATATAGGATGTTACGCTCACTCGTCATGAGTGCACATATACAAATAACCCTAGACTGCTCAATTAAATACTCGTCTGGGTTCGAATCCTTGACTGTATTCCATATTTTTTGCCACAACACTTGTTGAGATGATCTATTTTTTGTTTTATAAGTTTTAAACTAGATCAATACTACATTTAACAATAAATCTATTAGGACATCTGAATTTGAAGAAGCTTCTTAAGTACTAAGTACATTGACTTGTAATTAGTAATCACATTTGAAAACATTACATCACTGTAGGTGATAAATTAATATGAGAGGGATTCAACAATCCGTCCGTAGCAATATAAGCCAACGACATTGAACCCACATACGTACTGTACTCACGTATTGAGTGGCTTCTTCAAATTCTAAGCTAAATTGGATTACCAATAGAGAACAGAACGTCTATTTTTATATTTTGTTGTAAATATTTCTACTTTGATATAACTGTGTGCATGATTGTTTCTATTGTTTTTATTTTTATGCCCATAACCACCATATTCTTGAGTATTACAACTGTTTCTACGAATCTTTCTTTCCTAATCTGTTTTTGTTTAAATCCATGAGCCAATTGTGATATAATTTGGAAATCGCTTATTTTCAAATAAGACGATGAAGATAAATGATTTTCCAAAGGGATGTATTAAATCAAAATAGCCACATACACCACATAACGAGTGTTTTTATCGATGTTATAACACGCATGTGTTTGACCCCGCACTAACCAGAATACGGAAGGCGTTGGAGAATCGAACCAATATGGAGGATGACCGCGTCGCCATCTTGGAGGCACAGCTGTCGCAGGCCAAGCTCATCGCCGAAGAGTCCGACAAGAAATACGAAGAGGTGAATGCTTGTCCAACGTCAGATCCAAATAATATACTCCTATACTCCGTCGAACGAAGTTTCTTCTACTTGAACCATTCCAATACGATTGAAACACTCCTAGCTCTGATCATTGCCTGTAATGGAATGTGAATGTCAGTGAGAAACTTCTGTTGACATCATTAACGTGTTATTACGACAATCGCCCTCTGTATCATTAAAATTAACATATTTTAGCACCCTGGTCGTGCCGTGATAATTAAGTTATAAGCCGACAGTGAACAGAGGGATGAATCAAATATTCATATTACTGAGGCACCTCAACTCACGACGCGTTGAGCATTGACTCCCATTAAAAAGATAAAAGTTATTTTAAAGCTAATCTATGACATAATTAATAGTTGTTAAAAGACAAAATGATCATGAAATCGATTTATAATAACGGTTTGATAAATACATTTGAAGAGTTTTGGTGTCAAGCTGATAAGAATATTGGTAATAACACAGACTGCATTAGATTTATGACATTCTAAAACTAGACAATCTCGTTTCGTATTTGAATTTATAAATATTATAACACAACGAAATATTCGCATTAAGTGTCATAACCGAGACCTGGATCGTCTGGTTTTAAATGTTAAAGTTCCGAATATTGCAGAAAGCAAAGTTTTGGTAAAGGTTGAAGTGACGTACTCGAATGATAAGTCGCAATCCATTAATAAGGATGTGTAAACAAAATTCCTAATGAGAATCGTATTGATGAAAACAGTTAGCAAGACTAGCCAGTATGTAATGTTCGGAATAGAAAGACTCGTTTAAAGCAAATAAAAATCCCGTAGTGGGTTTATATTTGCCACTTTACATTGAAACGGGCAATAAACTAAAACATCGCTCACTGCGGCGATGAGCTCACTATTGCTCGGTTCGCATTATATTCCAGCTGTCCGGTTCCAGGTTGTTTGTCGCTTTATATGTTCCTCTCTAGCGTGTTCGTTACTTGCATGTCTTCTAACAAATGGGTTACCCTTGAAAACGCCCCCACCGTTAAGATACCATTCGATCATGTACTAAAGTTGTGTTTCGTGGTTCAGCGCCCGTAAGGTCCTCGAGAACAGGTCGTTGGCCGATGAAGAGCGTATGGACGCCCTGGAGAACCAGCTCAAGGAAGCCAGGTTCCTCGCCGAGGAAGCCGACAAGAAATACGATGAGGTCTTTATATGGGAGTTTAGATGTCGTTTGGTTTGGCTTTTCTTGCTTGCAATACGCATGTAATGAATATTTCATAAAGATGCCATCTGTTGCATCGTCTTGAATAATCGCATCGCCATTCTTCCATATTCGGTCAATGTGTTCCAGTGTTTACCGAACGGCGAAGTTCATGTCAACACTCGTGTTGTTTCCTTATTTACTGACAGTGTTGTTTTTCAAAATAACTCCATTGTTGTTTTTAAATATTTTTTCCTACAATGACCCTTTATTAAATTAAATTCAAAATCTTCCTTACTAAATGTTGAGGTGTGAATTTTCGAAGTGATATTAACCAAACCCTGCAAATTAACTCGTGTGAGCTTGTTTCGAGTTCGTTACGTCATTGAGCAAATAGTCACGAAAACAGAGCGATGATTCTCGAAAGTGGTGTATTATCGCTTCATGATTAGATACTGCTATCCATCTACGACATGTTTCCTTTGAAGACGTATTCATCATACTTTGATGCCAGATGTTTAGCGAACCAATAATACGTCCTAATTCCCCTGACATATGACCCTGCGTGGAGAAGTGAAGGCAGTCGTAAAAGTCAGCGTCCCAAGAAGGAATCGTATCGCGCCTGATCTTGCTCGGTTCGCCTTATATGGTGGACTAGCCTCCTTCGTCGCATATGTCGTTACATAAGCATTACTTCCATATAAGTAGGGTGTACTTGCTCAAGACTACGCCGTGACAGACATTAAACCTTAACGAATGACATACATGTTTGTTGGTGTCGATAAAGCTGTGATTACTGGTTGTTTAACGTAGTGTGGTATCTCCAGGTTGCTCGTAAGCTGGCCATGGTTGAGGCTGACTTGGAGCGCGCAGAGGAGCGTGCTGAGTCCGGCGAATCGTAGGTTTCCGTTCCATAGCGCCGACGGGCCACTGCCGCGAGGCCTTGCTAACATCACGCCGAAATAAGAATGGCACGAAGTAGTTTGCGCGCGTCTCGCTCGGACATTGTTATTTCGGCGTGTCACGCGATACTGGTCGTTAGCGCAGTGGTCCCGACGCGTTGTTTTGCAAGTTTTCGCCTCCGTTCTGCATGGTTGTTCATTTGCATTCTTAACATTCTGCACAGTAACCCGATTTACCTACATAGGTATTTCTAACATCGGCTCTCACTGTTATTCTTATTGCATGCCCATTCTAGGTCGCGTTCCAGACGGAAGCTGTTCAACAGGACATTAAATTAATTTGCATTGTCATGACATTAATACGGTGGTGCCGGCTCGCGTTGATTGGGCCGGCAGCACTGCTTAATTATAAGGACACGGTGTAGATCAGTGACCCTCGACGTCGCACTCGAGCGTCGCTGCTCTCTAGCCGACTAAAACAAGGGTTGCCCCATTTCATGGATATTTCTTATGCAAATGTTTAACTATCATGTCCATGTGTCGACTAAACTTCTGTCTTCAGTGTGTGTATTACTTAAACGTGGCTATAGGTTAGGATGTCAGGAAATATGTGTGGTATAGGGCAATTTTCGTTTTCAGATATGCACCGCATTACACCAGAATTACTGGCCGTATGCGTGCCGCACATATGCAAGCGCACACATCACCTAACGAATACGATAATGCACTAGATAGCACTTAGATAATTAATAATGTTTTATTGAAAAAAGTAATATTTTAGAACTAAATGTTTTGGGACAACCCTCGTTTATTTTTTAATTATGTGAGTTCTGACACCGCTCTCGACAGCCCCTGCTTTGTGTGATCCTTGCTGACTTTGTTGTTTGTGTTTTAGCTCCAATATCACTGCTTTGCTTTTTAGTTTTAGCAGGACATCACCCGGATCTTTATTTCTGCACTTAACTTACAAATGTCTGCACTTGATAAATACGTGCACACCTGCTACGGACGAAAGTCCATTAACATAAAGTGCGAGTCTCGAAAGAGCTCGGCAAACACTGTGGTAGTAAGGTTTCATTTACTCGACAACTTTCTACTTGTCACCCAGTAATTTAACGTAATCTCGTTTGGTAACTTTGTTAAAACATTTAACTAAAAAAAATCATTCGTGCACATTTCCACATCTGTATTTGAAACACAAACGTTGACACAAAGTTGGACACTTGTATAGTTGTACGTAGCACTGCACTGCGAAGCGCGTCGAGAGCGGTGCCCGGCTCGGTAGCTTAGTGTTGTGTGTGTGTGCGTTGGCGTGTACTAACGCTCGGCTGGTAGGTGGCGCGCAAGCTAGTGCTGATGGAGCAGGACCTCGAGCGGGCCGAGGAGCGCGCCGAACAGAGCGACTGGTGAGTACCGCTTCACTACACGTGCGCCACCACGCGTCTACTGGCCTCCAAAGACTATTCAACTTAAAAATAAATACGATATTGGAAGACTCCTAAACAGTTAAGCCGAATATACGCGTTGGCTCGTGTATAGAAGAAACAGGAAATGTTGCTGTGCCGCCAGCTGTTACTATAAGGTTTACTCATGTTCAAGTAGTTTGTTTTGACGAATTGTTTGATAAATCCATTACTGAAAATCGAGTTTAACAGAGTAAACATTATTTGACGGCTACTGTAGAACTGTTGGTATCGATAGAAAATCTATTGATGTCCGTAATTCCACACGACATAATCGAATTCATTAATGACTTTGACGAAAACTCCTATGCACGAGATCATGCTACACTTACTAAGACAACGTGTGTCAGTGAAAATGAGAAAGTCTGCGCTTGAAGTAATTAAATTGCAAATTAAACTGTTATCTGTATGCGTTTCCATTATTTTCACTGATACATGCTGATAAATTGTATATATCGTAAGTTGCTGAGGCGATGATAATTGTATCGCTACCCAAGGCTTACCCACTTGAGATTTGCGATTAAAAAGTCGGGTACACCTAAATTCATCGCCTTTGCGACACTGCATGATTGTTTGATAGCTGCTTGAAGTCCTTATCAGGACTGATTTGATCATTAAATAAACGTATAAGGAATTCAAGCGACTACTACACATAACAAAGAATCATATAATATATTAATCCTAACATGCACGCTTCTTTTTTTTTTTTACAAGTGCTTTTGATTATTAGATGTAAGAAGACACGTTTAAATTGTCAAATATGTCGGTCACTGATCAATTGCCCCTCAGGTTAATGGATATTGATTAGAAGCTGTTAAAATTTCTAGTTAAATGGAACAGTATTGTAACTATAACTGTAGTTAAATTGTTCCTTCTTTATTATGAACAATATTTTCAATATTTTCACTTTGGTTTCTATTACAAAGGCACTGCCTATTTGGGGCGATTTCAAGTTAAGCCTTGCAACTGTTGCAAAAGAGATAATAAATTTAAAAAGATTAATTGTAATCGTTATTCAGTATAGTATCAATTTTTTTAATTATACGACTTTATTATTACAGTAGAAGTTGATTTGTTCTCTTATCTGTTCCTCAGCAAAATCGTCGAGCTTGAAGAGGAACTCCGTGTCGTTGGTAACAACCTGAAGTCCCTGGAAGTCTCCGAGGAGAAGGTATATATCTGTGATTTTATACATTATCTTATAAGCTAGGAAATATTAAGCTAATGAATTCTATTCTAGGGATGTCCAATATTGAAGTCCCTTTTGATAATATCATTATGTTATTTCAACAGCAGATAATAAATTCTGAATGATGCACCAACCCTAGAAATCCCTTGAAAGTATCGCAGTAACTACCTACTCATTGTTTTGAATTCCATTGAATGAATAAGGCTAGGACGAAGCAGTTGGTCTTCCAAGTAAATGCTAATTGTATGAATGATGCAAATGAAAGAACGTGTGTGAAATGTATAGTGCTCTCCCCATAATGTTCGCCGAGTAACCAAGTGACGTTCTACACAGGCCAACCAACGCGAAGAGGAGTACAAAAATCAGATCAAAACCCTCACCACCCGCCTAAAGGAGGTGTGAACTCGAACGAGATCAGTTCATATAAGCGAGTGTTTACGTTAGCTTGCCTAACTGCATTCTGCCGCACACCTAATCTCTATCTGATTTACCATTCGAGTTACCAGTCTTCTGACTTTGGTGATGGTAAATAGGATTCAGAGAGTAGTTCGTCTGTAATTCGTGTTCAGTTTTCCTCCATTTTGATTTACCTCCTGTTTGCTGTTTGAATGTTTTTTATTTTCTTTCTTTAACAGTTAGTCGCTGTAATATAGTTTTAGTGTACTTTTATCCGTTTATATTTACCAAGTATCGCGCAGCGTTGTTTGACAGTACAACACTGCAACACTGCGCGATGCCGCATGACTCAGTTTTCGCTGTTTTGTGTTTTTTCGTTAACAAATAATACTCGCAGGCTACGCAAAGAGAAGAGACATACGAGGGTCAAGTAAAATTGCTGGACGCTCAACTGAAAGAGGTAAAATGACAGCCGGACCCGAGGACTTACGTAGATAGACGGTTTCGGTTGTAGTTGCGTTTCATGTTCATTGCCATTCAGTGTTTTTGGGGTAGTACGAGTACGTTGTGCCGTGGACTATAAAAATGTCACTCTGAACAAGTAACCACTAGTTTTTCCTCAATGTAGTGGTTCATGTGGACATTTTTGTAAGCCCAAGGTGCGGCTTCGTAAAGGCTACGTTCGTTGGTGTAGGCCCTAGTGTCGAGTGGCTGACGGCGGTTGGTGCTTCATCTATGTATCTATGTACAAGACTATCATCTCCTATTTCTGTACTTGTGTAATTTAATACCTACTTTCATACCTACCTGTAAGAACTGCGCCTGTGTTGTGATTGTACGCTTTTTATTATTTTTGGCTTTTGTAATTGTTTTGCGAGGTTTCTTGGATTATGTTGATTTTGAAATTTCAAAGTCACCATCTAAGTCGTTACCTACATATTTATCTTTAAAATCTTTAAGCCTCATTTGGTTTTCAAGATGTTGCACAACAATTATCTCTTCTGATGTAATTATACCATCTTTATCAACATTTATTTTCCTGATGTTGTTCCAGTAAATATGTTTCCAAGCGTTACCTGCTTCATATTTCCGCATAGTCCATAATTAGGGATTGAAATTGCTGGATCCAGAAATCCAGATGGATTGTCCATGATGTACTTAATAAAACATTTTCTACTTCTCCAAAATTATTCCTACTCTGTCAGCGTCTCATGGACGCCATTTTGTGGAAAGTGTACAGTCACAACATGGCGGCGGCATGTCGGTTGCTTGCCATTAGTAATCCGTCCTGTGTGGCTAGGCAATGGCGTCTCGCGAGCACGTCGAGGATAAGATCCACAGCCTCTCGCAGAAACTATCGCAAGTAAGTTGTGATCAATACTGGGGTCCTGGTCGTCTGAAAACAATAAAAGAGGATAAATAAGTGACACATAGACATTTTATTTATATACGATACGATGTCAATCGACCGTTACTCATACAAAAAGATGATTGTATCGATTCAGATTAATATTACTCATCGTTACATTATTTGTTATTTTTAGAAAATAATATCAAATAATATCACCTGATATATTCAATAACATCATTGTTAACTGATATATGATATATTTTTGTACTTGCACCAAAAGACGACCAGGACAACTTGTTGGTTATGGGAATTTTTCTATAAATATTTCACATCCATTTGTAATAATTTTGGGTATAATGGTATTTTCGTATCTAGTGTTGTATCTTCACCAATCAGCACTTAGCAGCTTTCGGTAAAGGTAAATTGCATGTCGATTGTGAAGCTTTTGTTGTTCGTAACATAGTTTGATATTTTTTATTAATAAATTGTAAATAGTTTTTTTGTATGTTATAGTTTTTTCTCTTACATTACAATTAAAAAATAAAGTTTTTTTGGGATTTAAATTCATTGCATGTTTGATTAATTTTATAAAACAGTCTATTTTCTGATTTCAGGACGAAGTCATTTTCGTCAAGAAAAATAATATCTATCTATCAATATATTTTAGTCAAATCAATTATTATGATAATATTTTCAAGAAGAAATAAAATGTAACAGAAAATAGGCTGTTTGACATATGAACAGAATTTAAAATAGTGTTACCAATAATTCCAGGCTGAGGCGCGCGCTGAATTTGCTGAGCGCTCCGTGCAGAAACTCCAGAAGGAGGTCGACAGGCTTGAAGGTAATCTATCATTTCTTATATCAAACAAATATATAAAATCAGATATATTTCATAAAAGAGACACGTATATAAAAGTCAGAGGTACAATATATAATAATGATAATATTTATTGATGCTAGTTTTCCAAGTTTTCAAGGGTCTCCAGATATATTACAGAATATACATCGTACAGCAGTTTGGTTAAGTTTAAATTAAAATATTTCACAAGTCAAGTTAAAATAACATGTTTGAAAATAACAAAGGCTTTGGACATTTCGCACTTATATTTTTGATACCATCTCAGCCGTCATTAGATCTGGCTTCGAGTTAAATGCTGTACAATAGTTTTGAAAGCTTTTTCTGTCTTTTCTGCTACGATCTAAAGCTTATTTTTATCTTAATTTCATAGTAACTGTGTTAGAGTTTATTTTTATTTTGTTGCTCACAAAATTGTTCTTGGTTAATCATGATCTATGCACACCATGATCTCTTGGATCAAATTTAGAAATGTTTGGTGCACCATGATCCAAAATCAATTTCGTGCAATATTTTTTGTTAGCATGACTTTTTAAGTGTCTCCTATCTAATAGACTGCTCGATCCTTTGATGTGATTTTTTTTTCTGTAATTTTAGCATGGTTTTATTATTGATGTTGTTTTTGCCTGTACTGTTCGATTCAAATGTCCAAATCGGTTACCTAATTAACTAAGTAATATTGTTAATTGTGATATAGAAAATGATTACCGATGGTTTGTACGTTTGGAACGAATGGTAGTTAGTTGTGTGTGTGACTGACCGTGGCCGCGTCGCCCTTGCAGACGACCTGGTGGCCGAGCGCGAAAAGAGCAAACTCCTGCAGGAGGAGATGGAGGCCACGCTGCACGACATACAGAACATGTGAACTCCCGCCACTGTCCGCCTCGCTCGCCTCACTCGCCTCGTGTCGCCCGCACTCTCACTCGCGCCAACCACTTTACTATTGGCCCCCAATCACCTAGTGCACGGTGTGCTCCAAAAAGTTTTTATTTAATTGACATGTTTTCCAAGTCTTTTTGCAAAGAGAGCTAGTGAGTCGAGCGGGCGTCTAGATGTTATTAGCTATAGAATAATTGCCAGCCGCTTTTTATTTGTAACTTCAAAATCGAGTGTTTGCTACGAAAGCACTGCCATGTGCAATTTTTTTATTACATCCACAAATTACTAATATTTATGTCCGTATAGTTGAAACGTGTAATTTGTTTATAGTCATTACTTTACGAGCGTGCCTGTTATGTCAATGATCGATATTTATATGACGTATGCAGTAATCGCTTCTCTAGCACTCTTAGTGTAAGGTATAAATGATAATATCGACATTCCAAAAGGGTCCAAATGTTATACATTTTACAATCAACTTAAAAGACATTTAGCATTATTTATAAAATGCACATAGTTTTTGTACAATATTTAAATTGTCTATGTATTTGTAGAACAAATTAGTCGCTGTATTCTGTTTCGATATTGTTTTTCACTCGAGAGATAGTGCATACAATACGTGGTATGCTATATTTTTCATATGCACTGTTTGCAATTTATTATGAACTTAATTTACTTAATGTTAGTGAAGAGATTAGATATTTTTATTCAAGAGTGACGGTAATACAATAAATAATGATATTTATAGGAATATTCTTGCTAAATTGGAAATAATTGATATTCTATTATGTTTGAAGAATGATTTTCTCGTGTCATAATTGAGTTTGTTGTTATTTATTTAAATTAATCGATGAATACGTATGTTGTCAGTGACACCGCTAGACCACGCCTGCACTGGGGTACCATTTACAATTAATTTAAGAAAGCACACCGGTACCGAATGTATGTAATAATTTAAACCATAAATATAGATGCAATTAAGACCTGAATAATAAGATCGTCCACGTTATTTCAAAATTTTACGTAATGTTAAATAATTGATATCATTTCATTACGGTGTCGTGGTTAACTAAAATGAATTTAAGCTACACCCAAGTGGCGAGGTGTAGTGGTGTTGTTGACAAGTCACGAATGAATAAATGGCGACTATTCCAAGTAGTGCGCGTGATGTGCTGGCAATACCGCGGAGTGACGGCTCGCCGGGCCGCGCGTGTGACGGGCGGCCTGCGGGTCTGTCGTACCCATACACTCGTCCCACACATACAGAACGTAGGGAGTCCGTCTTTTTAATGTTATCGATTAATGAATTGATAGATAAGTTCGTGAAAAATAATTTAATGATTTATAAGAGTATTCTAATAAAAGTGTTTATGAATATATATTATTATTTTTAACTTGTTGTGTTTTTACTAACTGGTGTGATCCCTTGTGATATCCCTTCGACTAACGCCCGATGACGATTCTATCAGCTATAATGTCGCAATCATTAAATGTAATATAAATTCATCTTCATTATCATTGAATTGAATTCCGTTGATCACTTCGGGAAGTTCGGGGCGAACCAAAATTATTCGCACAAAACGAAGAGAAGCTCCGTCGCGAGCGGGGACACGAAGCATTGTACATACCATCGTCTGAGGCACGGGGCATGGACCTGCACGTCCCCGTAGACTAGGCCGTGCTAACGCCCGCATGCGACCTCTGCTCGAGCTCTCACGCGCCGACTGACGCAGATGACCTCATCAACGAGATCGAGCGGTACAACGATATCGGCGACGACATCGACGACTCTTTCGTGGAGCTCATCCCCGGCGTCGACCCCAACGACCGCCAGATGGCCGCCATCCGCGAGGCCGCGCGCAAAGAGTACGAGCGCCTCCATCCCAAGGAACCTACGCCGCCGCCCCCGCCCGTCGAAGAGCCCGTGCCCGAACCCGCACCCGACGCGGCTGCTCCACCACCCGAGGGTGCCGCGCCCCCCGCAGATGGAGCTCCACCCGCAGACGGTGCCGCTCCCCCCGCCGACGGCGCAGCGCCGCCAGCGGACGGTGCAGCTCCTCCTGCTGATGGCGCAGCTCCACCCGCAGAGGGAGCTGCGCCACCCGCGGATGGCGCTGCACCGCCTGCTGAAGGTGCTGCTCCGCCTGCTGAAGGAGCGGCTCCTCCGGCTGAGGGAGCACCTGCAGCTCCTCCCGCTGATGGTGCCGCTCCTCCTGCTGAGGGTGCTGCTCCAGCTGCACCCCCTGCAGAAGGAGCTGCTCCACCCGCGGAGGGAGCTGCGCCAGCTGCCCCTGCGGAGGGAGCTGCACCCGCTCCACCCGCAGAGGGTGCGGCTCCGGCTGCTCCAGCAGAAGGAGCGCCCGCTGCTGCACCCCCTGCGGAGGGTGCTCCTGCCGCACCCGCGGCGGAGGGAGCACCACCTGCTGCACCCGCGGCTGATGCGGCCGCAGCCCCCGCGCCCGCTGCAGAAGCAGCCCCCGCAGCAGCCCCGGCACCTGCTGAAGCAGCGCCAGCACCGGCGGAGGCGGCCCCCGCGGCGCCCGCAGCTGAGCCCGCCCCGGCTGCACCTCCGGCGGAGGCAGCTCCTGCTGAAGCTGCGCCGCCCTCTTAGGCTTGACGAATCTTTGCTCGTTATTTTCGGACTCTATTTACTCTTCTACCGCGTTCCGGGTCGTGGTCCCGGTGTAATTATAGTGCGACATCCACTCGGAGTTTATTTTTTATGTTGGCAATAAATGTCTCAAACTATAGCTGATGGAATTTCCTTCCCCGTTTGGTCCCCGCCGGACCTCGCGTCTGCATGCGTGTGATATTGGCAACTAACGGTAGTTGAGCCGCTGCGAGTGACCGCGCCGCTGTCCGCAGACGATCTGATCGCCAGCAAGGAGATGTTCCACGAGATCGGCGGCGAGCTGGACTGCGCGTTCGACGACCTCGGCCTGCGCACGCCCGCGCTGCCGACCGCGCGCACCTGCGACCGCTGCACGTGCTGCCACTGACTGCCGCGCGCTGCCCGCTCACATGCATTTACGTCACATCACGATCGCGTCTTGATATTCTAGTCAATCATTAAATAACAAAACTACTACCGAAAGCTTTCTAACTGAGTTTGCATGCTAGATTTCAACGAATTGGAAAACCTTACATTATCGTCGTAAAACAAAAGCAAGCTTTATAACCGCGCGAGACCGACGCATGGCTTCAGAATAACATGGACACACACATGTAAGCATTTAATTTTTCTACCTACTGCCGCTAAGCTGATATAATAGTGCGCTTACAGACGGATTTTATTAACAAGCAGAATAATATGTGGCACTTCATGTAACACTGCAACATTTGTCTGCTGTTGAACTGAACACGGCGACTGAGGATACACACACCAGCATGATCGAGAACGTGCTTGCACATAGCACTGCCGACAAAGTTGCGAGTTGCGATCGTCCAACATTTCGCATCGCACCGTCTGTAACCGCCTTTACGCTGCAACTAATTTTCCATACGACTTGACTTAGGAACGTTTATTTTACAAATGGAAACTAAGAAATTGCAGGATTATAATATAATACATTTTGTTTGAAATTATCTTATGTTTGGACACATGATGTAATTGTTTGTCCAATACACAGACGAACTTGTCGCCGAGAAGGAGAAGTACAAGGACATCGGAGACGATTTGGACACCGCCTTCGTGGAGCTCATCCTCAAGGAATAAACTGTCACGATCGGTTAAGTTCGGTAATGTTCGGGTCCGTCCGGCACGCGGCTACTACCAGCTCCCGCCATCAATATCCGAATACATTTTGTATTTTACTTTATATTTTATACTCCTAATTTAAAGTATTAAAATCCATAGCTTTATGGCGGTATTTATTTTCGAGTAATATAATAAATTAATTTATTACTTATGTTTTTTTGTTTTATTTGTGTATCCTGTAGAAAAGTATTTAGTACCTTGCTTTAAATATAGATAGTATGCTTTGTAGTTGGTAGACCAAGTAGTTGCACTTGTAGTGTTGTAAAATTGGAATGCCTACATATACACTAAGTAGTCTTATTAGCGAAGAGAATGAAACTTCCAAGGAGGTATCTATATTAAATGAAAAATTGGAATAACTTTGAAACTATGTATTTATGAGATGAAACAAATAGATATTTTTGACACGGGAGAAATGTATTTTATTAAAGTTCTATTTGCTAATTCCTCAGTAATAGTATAGAGTTGGAAATTGGGCCCATAGTATGACAAATACCACTTATTGCTTATTCTACTTACTAGGGAAAACTGAGCTACCTAGCGTATCTAGCTATAAGCCTATGGAGACTACAAAGTCTAGAAAATTGTCTAAGTACTTAATGGTATATGGGATATTTAAAATAATTTTAATAACGCCACTTAGAGAGTCTGGTCTCTATGGATGCAGTAAAGGGGTAGTAAAACTGCTTAAAATTTAGGTAAGTAGTGCGTATCTTTTATATCATGTTACGCATTGTAGTTTTTAGAGTTCAGCTTTCTTTTTAGTTGCGTGCACTGCCTGATTTCATTTCACGCCAAATTTTTTATTTATATCAATCAGAAACAAATGCCATGACGTTCAAATATTGACCCAACATCTCTGAAAAGACCCCATACTTGTGAAAATAATAATAAATAATTAATTACTAATTTTTAAACACGACACTGATATATTACTAACCAACTAACGTTACTAACAGACGAGGTGGTGGAAGAGCGCAGTAAATACAAGGCTATAGCGGAGGAGGTGGACCAGACGTTCGCAGACCTGTCAGGGTACTAACCTGAAGGCGGCCATCTTGGATACGCACGCCATATTGCGGAAAAATGGCGGGAAGACTGCGGGCGCACTGCGGTGGATTGTTGCTTCGAAAACGTGCCTATTATAAAAGAACAACACATGAAGTCTTACAAATTAATATCCAATTTAATTAAATTATGAAAATAGATCGGTTTTCATGTATTGTACT